CTGCCTCCTGCGTGCTATGCCCTCCAGGCTCTCTGCGTAGAGCATCTCCCCATAGTTCCCATAGGGCCCGCTGGTGCGCTCCCGCATCATGGCCTGGCTGATCCAGCTCATGTGCAGGCGCTGGCTGTCCAGCGCCGCGTCCTGGCGGCAGGCGGGCCGGCCGCGAGGGCGTGGGCGGACGGCGCGGTGAGGGCCCGGGCTGAGACCGGCTGGGGTGGGGCGCCCTTAGCTTTCAGCGAGCCGCCACGAACCAGCGGCGCGCACAAGGAACTGGGCGGGCCAGGAGCATGGACGGGCGCTCCCGTGGCAGAGTGGCCGGCGAGTGTGTCAGCTGCCGCGCTGTCGTGCTGACGAGCGCTGTTGAGGTTGCCCCGGGCCCTCACCTCCTCCTTGTCAATGCGCTGCTTTTTGTCCTGCAGCTTTTGGCGCAGAACCACCGCGTGCTCGTACAGGCGCTCAAACACGACGGCGCTGGCGTCGGAGGACGCGGCGACGGCAACAGGCCGCGTCAAGGAGCGGCGGGGTGTGGGCGCGGGCGTGGGGGGGTGGAGGCCGCCTGCTCCGGCCGCCTGCGTGCAGCCGCTTGCAGCGCCACCAGCATGATACAAGAGGATGCTTCTTGCCATGTCAAGGCTGTTCGGGCAGGCACGTTCACACCCGCCGCCCGGCTCGCTCCAATCTTGCTCACTCTGTTTCGCCTGTGACGCTGCCAGGCCCGTCCGCATGGGTCGAGTGGATCGCAGAGCTCGCGCCTCGCGCAGCGGCGCCGGCCTTGGCGGGCTCCTGCCATGGACGGGGTTCAAAAGCGGGGTTTGCAGCAGGCGTCCGTGGCCGGGATCAATGCAGAAGGCATGCACATAAGAGCGCACCGCAAGCGTCTCAAATGCCGGCAGCGAGGGCTGTTTTGAGGCACCTGGCGCTTCAAAGCTGAGCCGAACGGGCGTCCTGCAGAACCCGCCTTGCATCTCACAAACAGCAGGCCCCCGCCCAGGCCGGCGGCGCCCCTTCACCTTGCCCCGCCCCGCTGCCTGCTGCCCCTGCTGCGACGCCAGCTGCTGCGCCGCGTGCTGCGCCGCCACGTCCCGCAGGTTGTCCCGCAGGTGCTGCGCCAGCGCGTCCGTGATGGCGGCCGGCAGGCCGTGCTTCTGGACGAACGCGCGTGCCAGGTCCAGCGGGTCGTCCCCCTCCCTGACCTCGATGCGGTCGGCGCGCCCCTCCCCGATGTCGACGGTCGTGATCAGGATGAGGGGCGCCTCCGCGCCGCCGCCGCTCGCAACCGGGGTGGCGGCCGCGGCGCCGAGGGCGCCTGGGTGGGGGTGCGCGCGGGGCGGGGGAGCAGGTGTGCTGCGCCGTGCCCATTTATGGTGTGCTTGCGCAGATGCTCGATTGTGCAGTCGCGCCTGCATGCTGTACAACAAGCTGCTGCTATGGCATGCAGGCGGCGCTGCTGTGTGCACCCACCTGGCTTTGTGCGGCTGACCGCTGCCGCCATGGTGGGGTCGGCACCGCTCGGCTGTGCGCGTGCGCATGGCGCAGGTGCGGAAGCGGGGGGCCAGGCTGAGAGGTTCACGGCTGTGGGCAAAGGGTGCATGCAAATCCTGGCTGCGCGTCTGTGTCCCCATGCGATTTCGATCGCGCCCATGCGCCACCATGCGCACGTTTATCTGCTCGCGCAGCCCTGCAAGCTCAGCGGCGCCCCCACGCCGAACTGCTCAAGCATGTGCATGAGAGCACCACCGCTGCGCAGCGCTGCGCTGTGCTGCTGCGGTCCTCAGGTCACGTGGCATCTCGAGGACATCCTACCCAAATATATACGGCGAAACAATGCATTTTCAGGCCCCAGGACCATTCGCTGCTCGTGGCTGTTTTGCAACTTCGACCGTGTCCGCCTGCCCGTCTCTCACCTTCGTTGTATGCAGGCACCCAGACTTTATTTGACCCAAAATCTAGAGCGTCATGCGTGCCCAGCACCTGCCGTGGTGCTTGGTTTCAGTTGGTGCGCTGTGCCACTCTACTGCGATTTATCAAGGATCAAAAGTATCGAGAAAATGTATTTGAGGCTCTATGAAAACCAGGTCGACACCGTCCACGATGCGCAGAGGTGACAGACACACGCACACCAGGCCACGCACGAGAACAGGAGTACTGGCCAGCTGCTCATGGCCGGTACTGTTGTCGACACGACCAGCTACGCTGTGAATATTTTGCACCTCTGACGTGCGACCAGGCCCGCTGCTGGAAGTGCAGCGACAGGCGGGCCACAGGTGGTGGGCCCACCCGCAACCGCAGCACAGCTTCCGATCAGGTCGAGCTCCTACCGTATGCACCTACAATAGGCTTGACAGACAACCATGTTGCATCATGCACATACATAAGTGCCTTATTGAGATGCCCCGTGCTCCTGCTCTTGGCATGGGCGACTATGCAAGGGGGGTCCCGGGGGGGAAGGGGGGGGGCAAGCCCGGGCTGGACTGCCGCAGTGCCATCTTGCAGAAAGTGCAGCCTGCCGAAGCATGGCAATGCAGATCACAAGACATGCGTGTTTAACAGACAAATCAATCATTTACATGCAGAAGGCCAAGTGTCTGTTGGCAAGTGAAGACGCCCAAGGGTGAGCGGCGGCACACACTGGCGTGTTCCTCGCTACCGTATCATGCCGCGCTTGGGATCTGACCTAACGCATCCGATATATTAGGCTGCCTCGACATACGTGCCCCCCCCCCCCCC